ATTTTGCTTAGAACTTCCAAAAAGAGGTCTGGTTTCAATATGTCACCCATAAAGTTAGTTACAAGTCTTTTCTTTCAAATGACATTAACCTTTGAGGTATCTTCCACCCAGTGCATTTTCAGTGATAATCATGTTTTCTTTATTTAATGTGCATGAGACAATTATTTTTGGAGACTTAGCTTCCAAAGGTATTTGTCTCCCAGGACTTAACATAACTTTTCTGTAAATTAGCTCCTGAGAGGAGAGCTGAACTAATACCCATCAAGGCTCAAATACCCTTTCCAGTTAAGCCACTGTCTTCTTATAATTGTGTTAGAAAAATTGATGACGTTATTAATCTTTTTGGCTACAGTATCCCCTTGTGTTCTCACATGGTTATGTTTTGCCATATTTGTTACCATTCCAAGGCTGCCTGTGTGTCTGTTCAGCCTGTCAGAATTGCACACTTAAGTGCAGTTGCTTTCATTATTGTCTTCTAGCTCTCTACCCCCCCCTCCCCGCCCCCCAGATCCTTTCCTACATTAGAGTACACTGAGAGGAAAAGAAAGAGAGGGGAATTTAGGGTGTAATTTAAAAATATTTCTTTCAATTTTGTTTTGTGTACTGTTGAAATCTCAACAGTAATATGTGTATCTTGTGCTCAATGGGCCTGTTTTTATTTTGCAAAGCTAGGCAAGATAAATAGGAGAGGAGCAAACCCAGAAAATGAACCTGTCATCCTGATCTTTTCCCCATTTGCTGGCAGCAGGTCTATCAGCGAAATTGTCCAAGTGCTTCTTTATTTTAAGACATCCACGATTTGTTCTAGATACAGATACTGTTATATTCCCTTTCATTTCCCCTTGCAATGAATTCTGTTTTGTGATGTAATTATGTAAGTATTTCAATATGATAGTTTTTCTTCAGGATATGAAAAAGTTGGGGTTTTTTAACCTGTTATCATCTGTACCAGTAATTTAGTTAGCATTTAAATTAGATCTTGAAGAATACATGAGTTAGTGAGAATAAGTTTTTTTTAAATGAAACACACAGAAATATTTTTATGATCACTTTATCAATATTTGTTTCCCATTATAGGAACAAAAAGTTAAATACATCTTGAGTAGGAGTTCAATGTGAAACAAATAATTGGTGCCTAAAATAGGATGTCAAAAGGAGATAAAATTCAGAAGAAAGCCAAGATTTTCTCTTTACAAAATATTATTATAAAATCATCAGCAGAGACTCATGCAAAAAACTTGCATTTCTTTGTTAAGGGAAAGTTACAGAAACTTATTTTTGTGTTTAAGGTCTATTTCTCTTCCAACAGATCTATTTACTGTCCTTATCTGAATTTTGTATATATCAGCATTCATTTTTTTAATTAACTCTTTTTTTAATTGTGAAAATTTTACACAGAATATTAATTTTATGTTTTCATTATCTCTTTTCAAGAAAAATAATTGTCTTGTTTCACTCAAGTACACATGTACTGTGTTAATATAAAAATGATCACTATTGGTATTTTGTGATTTATCAGCACTTTTGTGCAAGCTCTGTCCTGATCTTTCTCTATGGATCTCATTTGATGCTTTTGTCCACCTTTATCTCTGAATCTATTGAATGATTCTTAATCTGTACTTCTCTGAACTTTTGTTTGAACAAGGATTTGATAATTCCATCTCTCAGTGGATATTTCTACCTAGATTTTGAACTGACATCTCAAATTCATATTGTTTTGTTTTCAGTGTTTCAATCCTTAAAATAAACTCCACTTTGGGTTTATTTCCAGAGCTCAATGCATCAGGTTTAGGACATTTTTAATACTTTCCCCCTATAATGGTATAATCTAGTGGGCAATAACTTCTAATTTGTCAGACTACTAACTAGTAGGTTTGAGCCCACTAACCAGTCTGAGGAAGAAAGTTAGGCATTCTCCTCACATAGAGATATATTGCTTTGGAAACCCACTGGAGGGTTACTTTGAATTGGAAGCAACTAGACAGCAATTGTTTGTGTTTTGGTTTAATTAGAGAAAATCAAGTGATCATTTGGCACCCACTTCCTATACAACATGCCTCTGGTAACTCTCTGAACTTTGAATAATGTCAGTAGTTGTAGAAAGGCTTCACGCCTTTTGTTCATAGGGTCACTATGAGTCCTGCTCATCTCAAAGGTTATCAGCAATAAAACAGAAAAGCAGAGAAGTTGAATGTTTATTTGTCAGACTTTTGTGATTTGATGGAGAGATAGGAAATATTTGAAGGAAGATGGAGCCACGCAGAAAACACTGTAGCTGTCCACAGAATAATATAATTTGGTAAAAATGATTATGACAAACTATATGGCAAAATCAATTTAAAACAAAAATCTGTTACTCCCACCTCAGGACTTTTTTTGTTTCCTTTCTGGAAGACAAGCTATCCTGAGAATGTTCATGGAAAAAAGAACATCATTCATTCAGTCTGAGAATGAGTCTAAAAAGAAAAAGTCCCTCTGCTTTTTATTTTTTTTTAATTTTTTTATCTTTTTGAATTTTTTAATCTTATTTCCACCCCAAGTACATTCCACTATGCAACCTTAATTGTGGACTCTTGTGATAACCATAATACTCTATCATACATTGCTTTTTAAATTATTATTACATTTTATTAGTTTTAATGAACATTTACAGGGATTTTGGGTTTTCATTCCTTCATTGCTGCACCATTCTCTCTACCCTCCTCCCCAGTTTGTTCTTCTTCCCTGCCATCCGAATGTCTGTTTTAATTGTCCAATTGCCACAGTGCTTGTCAAAGTTAGTTCTGATTAATCTCCTTTGTCGGTGTGTCCTTTGCCATTCCCTATCACTCCTCCCTGAGAGAGACTTCACCCTGATTCATAAGGAAAAGGGGATGGCGTATTCGCTTAGCTACTTCCTGCTGAAAAGGGACGCTGTGGGTTTCAGGGTGAAGATCTTCTCTCACTACTCTAAAGGGCCCCTTTGGCAGTAGGAAACACATAGACTATTATGGAGATTGATTTTGGAATTTAGATGCACTCTTATTGATTGTGCTTGGCCGTACATGTTCATATCCTTGAAGATGTATCATGGGGGTGTTGCAACCTAAAAGACACAAATTTGACTAACAAGTTATAGGTACATGAGTCAAAAATTATGGAAAAGTAAAAGAAAGGATTCTTTCATTGTTTTACAAACCCTCCCCCAGGTCCCCTCCACCATGTAGCCCTCGCTCTAGACTCCTGTGATGACAGAAATACCTAGTCATATATCTCTTTTAAACAGTTTTCTCCCTCCTCTGTTTCAGTGCAGTATACATTATTGAACCCATCTTACTCAGTCTCTCCCCAACCCCGAGGTTAGTCCCATTCTACAACAGTGGCATCATGTAATATTTGTCCTTTTGTGACTGGGATATTTCACTCAGCATAATGTTCTCCAGAGTCAACCATTTTGAATAATATTGCATGAGTTCCTTGTTTTTTAATGCAGCATAGTATTCCATTGTGCGAATATACCACAGCTTCTCTAGCCATTCGTTTGTTGATGGGCACTTAGGTTGTTTCCAACTCCTTGCAATTGTGAACAAACTTAACACACTTCTGGGGGGGGGAAACCATAAATACTAAACATTAAGTCTTCACCTTGTGGAAAATCATATTGTTACCAAATCTAAACTTGTAAAGTTTTCCACAATTTGTGAGTTGTTGGAACTTTCAATTGATTCTTTCAATTCAAAGACTCTTTTCTCTCCTAGGCTTACTGTATTCTCTGAATCAGAAGCAAGGCTTCAAGTTATATTAAGTCCATTTTATAGTCATCTTTACTTTGTTAGTTTTTCAATGATGTTATACAAAAAGGTGAAGACTTAATGTTTAGTATTTATGGTTTTCCCCCCCAGAAGTGTGTTAAGTTTTTTGTTTCTCTTGAGGGTTGCAGGTCAAAATGGCACACAGTAGGTAATTTGTGCTTTCTAATCAGCTATATTTTTCATGTTTGATGTAGCATATTTTGAAATTTATAAATACTTGTGTCACTGATATGCATTATAGCAATACATTGTATTTTATTAATTTTATAAGACAGACTAAAACAGCTAAAAAATCAGCTTTGCAGACACCTAAGACCTAAAATCATTTTAGATTATTGAGCATTTTATGAGTGAAGATTGCTTATAAAATACTTCTGCATACTGGGCAACGTTTTTAATGTGAATCAAAAGGTTTGCTCAAAAGCCAAACCAGAAAAGGGAATTTGGGCTCGTTATTGATTATAGGTAATGATGTAATTTTGTTTTAATTCTTTCTTTGTCTTACACCTGAACTGAACTGAACATTTCTTTGATGTCTTTCAGTCACATTTATTAGGAGAGTTGGAAAAATGATTGAGTAAGTTTCAATATCTCTTTAACAAGTACATAGTACTCATCCAAGTTAGAAATTTTAGATCATCTCTAATTTTGTGAAGATACATTTTCCACTTTTGTTTTTCTTTCTTCGTAGATTGTTTCTCCATGTACATCCCAGTGACTACTGTTGTTGTTGTCAGATGGTGATAAGCTTATGTTATGGATCCTTGTGCTCATGTTTTGATCACTCACTGTGGCTTCTGTTTTTCTGCAATGTAGTGCAGTTGTTTTATAGTACTTGGCACTCAACAGAAATCTAGATGGGAATGAATTATGAATACATAGCCCAGAGCTTTCATTTTACACAGATATAATGAATGCTCTCACCATTTAAAACAGATTTAAAAAGAAATGTATATGTAAATATATAGTACTAATGTATTACTATGTTCTCTTTTGGCTATATAATAAATAGCTTATTATCTGACCAAATCAAATTATTAGGTCATAGTTATTTTAAGGAATAAGATAATTAACACAGCAAGAGCATTCTATCATTAAAACATTGTAATATCTTTGTTAAACAGTTATTCTGCGGTTCAAAGATGTGATCTCTTATTACATTTATGTACAGAAGTGTGACATACATTCATCTCTCATTTTCTCTCACAGTTGACTTCAAACCTCGTGCCAGCATGGATACTGTCCATCATATGTTACTTTTTGGATGCAATATGCCTGCTTTCACTGGAAGTTACTGGTAAGGAAAATCGGTTTACAGAACAGAAGGCATTGAAAAACTTGTATTTATTACACAGTGTGCTTCTGTGCATGTAATTTGTAATTAATAAATTGGCAGACTACTTTCTGGAAAAGGAACATCATCATTCATTTGTATCATGTGATTATATGGTTTTATTCTGAATTAGTATAGTCTACTGTCGAGCATATCCATGAGTCTTTATCAGTGCCTTAATAAGTATTTATCTGCTGTAGAAAATAAAAGTTATGATGGTCCAGTCATTAAGAACTTGGCTGCTAACAAAAAGTTGATGATTTGAACTTACCAACCTCCCACAGGAAAATGATGTAACAGTCTGCTTCTGTAAGGATTTACAGCTTTAGAAACCAAATGGTGCTATTCTTTCCTGTAGAGTAGTCTGAGTAAGAACTTACTAAATGTCAGTGGGTTTGACTTTTTTGTTTATTGGTTTATTGTAGGACATACTGTGTCAAGATGCATATTACTTATAATGCAATACTGAAACTTTAAATAATAGCTGTTTTTACACTTACATTTTTAAGTTTGTGGTTCTACCTATAGAGTATGTTTCCAATCACAAAGCACTTTTTGTCTCAAAGTCTGTGTTGTGTGATCTTTATACTGTTTCATTTTTATTCTTAGAGGTATCCAAATTAGGTATTAATATCCCCATTTCATACACTCTTTTAAGTTCAAGGCAATTCAATAACTTGTTAACCTAACTCAGGTAGTAGATGCCAGACCAGGATTAAACCTAGGTTGTCTGGTCTAGTTCAATCTCAAGTTATTTCTGTCTTCTTGTTCACTTCCATTTTGCTCAAGTAACTGTTGTCATTTTCATATTTTAGATCAGTTCTCTGAGTTTATTATTACTTTAGGAATAATCAGTAAAATCTATTGTTTCTTAATCTCTAGGTATACTATATATACCTGTCATACACCAGGGCTGTAACAGATGCTGTAGAAGTTTTTAAGATAAATAATATGTGCTCTTTGCCCCCGTATATACTTACTACGTAACTCAGTCTTGAGGTATTATCTTTAAGTTTGTTCTTTGGCATTCTATCATAATTGTTTTGAGTTAATAAACTCTGAAAATGGCCAAGCATTTCAAGTTTCATATTTCCCTCCTACAATTAGAATTGTGTTTATATACCTGACAGGCCAGAACGACTGGCATGTCTTACTTTGCTTTGAATGTCCTTGCCCTTCATAAATAGGTAGATGGATAGATCCTTCCTTGTGAGCGTTAATAATCATTAGTCTAATGCAAGATGCACAGCTGCTGCTTTCCAGTTGATTTTATAATAAACAATTGCAATATGTATTTGGAATTGTTAAGAGCACAGGGCAATTAGTGGAACTCTCCATGGACCAAGTACTATCAAAACATTTGTTAATAGGCTTAAGTTATTTGATGAAAGGAACATATCACATAGGAATCCAACTCACATGGCCAAGTTCATGTATAGAGACATCAAATCAGTGTTCCAGTTTTTGCTCTTCAGTAAATTTTTGCTAATAAAATCCTGGGATTAAAAGATTATTTTGTGGAGTCTTTTTAAAAAATTCAGCAAATAATTTCTTTTTCTTTTTATGCTTTAAAATATTGCTTATGAAATTAGCAGTATTTATCTTTGGATAAGAATTATTGAAAACAGCCAAACCAGATGTAAGTTTTTAAAATCAGGCTTATTAATTTCTGATAAAAAGAATGAATGAGAAAACTAAACACTGCTTAAAAGCTATTAGTGATGTTTGTCTAGTTTGTTCTTATGTTTGAGACATGTCAGAGGATAGATAATCCTTTAAGGGCCCTTAAAATGTGTATTATTATTTTAGATATGCTGTTGTGAAATGATATAGTAACCATAAGGTTTTCAATTTAGAGAAAGAATTCAAGTAATAATTAAAATGCAACAACAATTTTAAGTAATAGGTGCATAGATAATGTTCCTAAAATTTTCACTTGAAAGACATCATGGGTGTTAGGGTGAAAAGAGCAGTGAATTAACTGGCTTAGTTCCCTGGACAAGCTGCTCAGCTTATCTGGATCTGGGTTTCTGTATTTTAAAAAAGAACTCAGAGCAGATATTTTATAAAACCTCTCTTTCTAGGGAGCTCTGGTGGCCTAGTGGCAAGAAGCTGCACTGCAATCCCAGAGGTACACAGTTCAAATCCACCAGATGCTCTGCTGGAAAAGGAGGGACAATCTCCTCCTGTACCAGTCAGATCCGATTTGACGGTACATGCACACAAAATAATAAAATAAAATAAAAAAAAACCAAACAAAAACACAAACCTCTCTTTCTAAAAACCTCTCTTTCTCAAACTCCATAATCTATGCATAAAAATTTCAAGCAAATGCTGAATCTTAATTGAGAAATTTGAGTACTAGGAATTGGAAATGTGTGGACTGGTTGACACAACTCAAGCAGGCAGCCGTGGCATTTTGACAGTTGTACTTATGTGTAACTCAAGTTCTCAGTGATACTTTACTATACAGTTCTAAAGAGATTTAAAAATATCTGCCTCACAGTCTAATCTCACTTACCTCGTGTATAGTTTATTATAGTTGGCTTTATAACCCAAGAACAAGGACAAAAATTGAGGCTGTCATTCATCTTTAAATCAAGCCCAGAGGATTTAATTTGACATTTAAAAGTATGATCTTCTAAATAAGTATTGCAAACTAGATGCAAGTCTTAAAAAACAAAACAGTCAGAGTGATCTCTGACTTACATGATCATGCCTTTCTATTTTATTTATTCTGAAAGGAACAATATTTACCATTGGGTTTTTTTTAAAATCAGCACTATATACCTTTTGAAAGGTGGCATAGTATCACCTTATATTTGTTATACTGTACACCTCTTTAGAATTAACTCGTAAGAGATCTCATGGGCTTAAATTTCCTATTACTTTGCATCTAACACCCCTAACCCCAGAACCTAAGAGGCTCAGCCCCAGAGACATTCAGTGGAATTATTTTCCAACTGTTTAGCTTTTTCTCTTCACACCTGCATTATAATACTAATCAAAAGAATCTATCAGTGTCAGAAGTCTGTCCCTGAAATTCTGAAATGTTTAGTCATCACATTTTTTTATGGGTTTTGTGTGGGTTATTTTTTTTATAGTCGCATGTATATTCTTCAATTTCTCTTGGATATAGACAGTTTTTGATGAAGAATCTCAAATATCCACATACATTTTAAGTTAAAATACTATATATTGTTGTTGTTTGCCTTTGAGTCAGAACTGACACATAGCTGACCCTTCAGAGGCAGTAAATCACATGGGAGGAGATAGCATATCCTTCCCTTACAGAGCAACTGATGGATTCTAACTATGCGTTTTTGCAATTGCAAAGCAGCCTCTTAGGGCGAGGCCACCAGAGTTCCCTTAGTGTGCACTAGGGTTACAGATTATAAAAAATATATTACATATATATTTTATAATATATAATAACAGTAAGTATTGGTGCTCAAAACTACTGAGAATTCATACATGTTCCTGGGGAAATCTTTAAGAAAACACAGAGCTTTCAGTGAGAGAAAAAAAGGTAATAGGAAATGTCACTTAGAGCACTGAAATGTCAAGCTTAGATATCTTCTCTTTCCTGTTTTGTTAGCTAGACTTTCCTCCTTTTCGCTTGAGTGTTCTGTTTTCACTTGGTTGGAAAATAGGTATGTGTCTTTAATATAGAAAACATTTTTCCCTGAAATTATGAAGTTATAATTCATCCTCTGTCTTCAGGCAGCACTTTTAATATAGAAGCAAAGTGCTGTTCTGATGATGTTTCACTGTTGTGCTGCCCTCGTTTGCTCTTTGTAATTGCCTCTTTCTACTGTTCATTAAAATATATTTACAGTTATATTAAGTTTACATGAAAATAGTAGACACAGCATGAAGCAGTTTTCATTATGTAGTCATTTTAATTTTAAAGTGTTTTTTTCTCTACACATATCTTGGTCTTTTGTGTCTCATTCCAAATTAGCAGCTCACACTGGTAATGTGTCTAGTTAATTATATGCATGTGCATTTAAATTGCATACATTGATGTGAACCTTTTAATATACTGTGGGGTGGTCCCTTTATAGATAGAGTGGGCCTGGTGCTCAGTTCCAAATTAGCATACCTCTTAGATGCAAATAAGAACCAGCTGATAAAAAAGCAGAGGCTCTGCTGACCCATGTGAATAAGACAACAAAATCTGTCAGGTGGAACCCTAATACTTTCTTTCTTAGGGTTTTAAGGAAAGAGACAATTAACTGCATTTAGGGACCAACGGAAAGTAATAGCACCAAGACTGGGGCAAGCATTGCTGTAGTTTGATTTGCTGGACCCTGTTGGTGCCAGATAACTTAGTTCTAAGCTTGGCAATTCTATGATTTGCAGGCGATAAGTCATAAGTGGGCAATACTGTTTAGTGTTGTTTCTTTGAAAAAAGAAACAAAACTCATATCTTTTTGCCACTGAGTCAGATCAACTCCAGGGACTTACACAGGCTGTAAATTGCACAAAAGATTGCTCATCTTTCTCCTGTGAAGCCCCTGGTGGATTTGGGTTACAAAACAGGAGTCCCTTTTGAGTTCCTACAGACTAAGCCACCAGAGATACTATGTGTTGTTTGGGGTCAGTGAGTAATAGAAATGCTGAAAACTTGGAAATTCAAGTGTAAAAATCTATTACTGCTCTCCTCTAAAATACAATGAGTCCTTAAAAGTACTTAGAAATGAAAATAATTGGTTTATCTCTTCTATGAATAACTTTATTTAGGGAGCTATGGCGGCATAGTCTGTAGTGAGTTGCACTCCTGATTCAAAGACTGCACCTCTTCAATAGTTTGAATCCACTACTCGGCTCTAAGGGAGAAAGTCGGGCAGTGTCTTCCTATTGTTCCTATTACAGCCTCCCAAAGCCAAAAGAAGGTTGCTGGTGAGTCAGAACCAATTCGGTGGCAGTAAGTTTGAGCTTGAGTTATGAATGACTTTCTT